CTATTATGATATGGTACTCTATTTTTTATCATGTCTGTTAAATTGTGGTACTCTATTTTATATCAAATCTGTTAAATTGTGGTACTCTATTTTATATCAAATCTGTTAAATTGTGGGACACTTTGTTATATCAAGTTTGTTAAGTTGTGGTACTCTATTTTATGTCAAGTCTATTATGTTGGGGTACTTTATTTTATATCAAGTCTATTATGTTCTGGTACTCTACTTATATCGAATCTGTTAAGTTTGGTAATCTATTTTATGCCAAGTCTATTATGTTGAAGTACTCCATTTTATATCGTGTCTGTTATGTTGTGGTACTTTATTTTATATGAAGTCTATTAAGTTGTAATACTCTATTTTATATCAAGGCTATCATGTTGTGGTACTCTATTTTAGGTCAAGGCTATTATGTTTTAGTACTATATTTTATGTCAAGTCTATTATGTTGTGGTGCTCTATTTATATCGAATATGTTAAGTTGTGGTACTCCATTTTATATCGTATCTCTTAAATTGTGGTACTTTATTTTATATCAAGTCTGTTAAGTTGTGGTGCTCTATTTATATCAAGTCTATTAAGTTTTAAGACTCTATTTTGTATCAAGGCTATTATGTTGTGGTACTCTATTTTATATCATGGCTATTATGTTTGGGTACTCCATTTTATATTGTGTCTGTTAAGTTGTGGTACTTTATTTTATATCAAGTCTATTAAGTTGTAAGACTCTATTTTGTATCAAGGCTATTATGTTGTGGTACTCTATTTTATATCATGGCTATTATGTTTGGGTACTCCATTTTATATTGTGTCTGTTAAGTTGTGGTACTTTTTTTATATCAAGTCTATTAAGTTGTAATACTCTATTTTATATCAAGGCCATCATGTTTTGGTACTCTATTTTAGGTCAAGGCTATTATGTTTTCGTACTCTATTTTATATAGATTCTATTATGTTGTGGTGCTCTATTTATATCGAATCTGTTGTGGTACTCAATTTTATGTCAAGTCTATTCTGTTCGGGTAACTCTATTTTATATCGTGTCTGTAAGTTGTGGTACTTTATTTTATATCAAGTCTATTATGATGTGGTGTTCTAATTTATACCACGTCTATTAAGTTGTGGTAATTTATTTTATAAGAAGTCTGTTAAGCTGTGATACTCAATTTTATATCAAGTCCTTAAAGTTGCGGTACTCTAATTTATATCAATTTTGTTAAGTTGTGTTACTCTATTTTCTGTCAAATCTATTATGTTGGGGTGCTCTCTTTATATCGCGTCTCTTAAGTTGTGGTACTCTGTTTCATATCAAGTCTGTTAAATTGTGGTACTCTATTTTATATCAAGTCTGTTAAATTGTGGTACTCTAATTTATATCAAATTTGTTAAGTTGTGGTACTCTATTTTATATCAAATCTATTGAGTTGTAGTACTCTATTTGGTATCAAATCTTTTGAGTTGTGGTACTCAATTGTATATCAAGTCTAATGATTTATGGTACTCAATTTTATATGAAGTCTATTATGTTGTGGTACTCTGTTTTATATCAAGTCTGTTAAATTGTGGTACTCAATTTTTATCAATCTGTTAAATTGTGGTACTCTATTTTATATCAAGTATGTTAAGTTGTGGTACTATATTTTATATCAAATTTATTGAGTGGTAGTACTCTATTTGGAATCAAGTCTTTTGAGTTGTGATACTTTATTTTATATCAAGTCTAATGATTTATGGTACTCTATTTTATATCAAGTCTATTATGATGTGGTAATCTATTTTATATCAAGTCTGTTAAATTTTGGTACTCTATTTTATATGAAGTATATTTAGTGGTGGTACTCTATTTGGTATCAAGTAGTTTTGAGTGTTGGTACTCTATTTATATCAAGTCTATTATGATGTGGTAATCTATTTTATATCAAGTCTGTTAAATTTTGGTACTCTATTTTATATGAAGTATATTTAGT